CACGCACGCACGCACGCACGCACGCACGCACGCACGCACGTTTCATAAATATATATTAATATTTTAGGGAGTGAATGTACACTGAAATAAGTAAAAAACATGATATGAACATGTTCTACATATCTTAGTTTTCGAGTTATAGATGATTAAAGGAAATATTCTTGGTGTCCGCTTCGAGTTTTAATACACACTACTGCATTGCAATATTGAAGGATATTATTTGTAAACATTAGAAAAGGTCACGTGCTAAGATGTGCAATAGCGTCTATTGAGGCACGATATACACATTTAAGACATTTTCTTTAATCTTTTATAACTCGAAAATTAAAGTATGCAGGACATACGTTCATGTTTTTACTTATTTTATATGTAGATTCACCCTAAATATTGACATGCAATTATGAAACATTTAGTAATACTATACAATATGTATGTAAACACGCACGCACATACATGTGTTTGGTTCTATAAATAATAATTGTGAAAGTTATTTTGTTTGAAAATATTTAAATAAATCAGGGTTGGTAAAAAACATGTTTTAAACGTGTTTTAAACAGTTTAAAACATGCTAAATTGATGTTTTTAATATGGTTTAAATACGTTTTTTTTTATAGTACTGTTTAAAACATATTTGAAGCATTAAAAACATATTTAAGAAGAAACACAGTACGTTTTATTCTTTAAAAAAAAAAAAAAAAAAAAAACAGTATTATATTTACCAACCCTGAAATAAATATTTAGACTTAAACAACAGTTTTAAATTTGTTAAAATGTTTTTAGTAAGTTTTATTTTTTCACTGGTACATGTATAAATATAGATATGTAATGCGTAGATATGTATTTTTATTACAATTTTGTAAGATATTTTGTAATATATTCGATACAATGTGATTTTCGGTAGTTGTTCATGAAATATTGTCACTGGTGTTACTTTTAATTATGAGAAATAAAACTTATTAAAAACATAGTTGAGTGCAAACAAAAATTGAGTGCTTTATTTTAGAGAGTTTTATGTAGATCTTCTTAAACAAAATAACTTTTAATAAAAAAATGTTTTATAATTTATTTTATAAAATGTATACATTTAAACCAAACACGCACGCACGCACGCACGCATACACTATACATTTGATGCTTCATTATGCGCAGCAAGGCGGTCCGAAATCATGATTGCGATTTCAAGAGGGAGAACATTATTAGCAACGCTATCTCACTCGCGTTTCTTCTTGTTTCAAGTGTATCAAGATATTACGTGTTTGCATACGAAAAGTCGAATTTTCAAGTCCGCAAATATAAAAAGACTTCCAGCGTATGTATATGTATATAATCTCTTGCGAATAAATAAATAAAATGGACACCACTCTTAGGTAAATTATTACATGATCTTGTATAAACTGTACACTCACGTCATTTGGTTCTGATTGCAGGACTTCTTATCTTATTAATATAATATAATCTATGTCTTCTTAATTTCTCCTACTACTAAACTTATTCTTAGAGATTGTATTGACAAAAAAACAAAAATGGACTTTTCATACGCAATAACGTAATAATAATGCTGTGCTGTAGCTAAAATGCTTTAAGATCCTTGAATCCTTAGATTCTTTTTTGCGTTTGTGTGAACGATTTTGATCTATGTATCTGTGCATCCTTGAATTCCTAGATTCTACATAGCTTCAAGTCCTTGGATCTTTAATTCTTTGGAATTCTAGCTCGACCAATTTATAAACTGCTTGATGTTTCTCAATCCTATATACTTAAATTCTCCAAAAACGTTTTTGATTTCTTAGAACTGATTTGTTTCCGATTACTGAATTTTTAATAGCTTTCAATCCTTCTAAATCTTAAATAAAATTCTTCTCAATCGCGTCCTATCCACGATCCTTAGTTTCTAGATCATAGATTACTACGCTAACGTGAATTTTTTAAGTATCACAAAACGGTGTTGGATCATTGCACGCTTAATATCGATGGATTCGTGGACTTTTACATCTTAAAGGTAAACGCACATAGAAGTAGAAATAAGCAGCAAGCAGTAAGCAGTAAGACATACGAAGTAGGCAATTAACATTGCCAGTATATCTTACATATGAAAGATGGCGGTCTTACGTCTCATTGCTTACTGCTTACTTCTACTTCTATGTGCGTTCACCTTTACAGTCTCGGATTTCAGAATAATCGATTTCGATTCTAATATTGTCGACTCCTTGACTGGACAGAGAGAGAGAGAGAGAGAGAGAGAGAGAGAGAGAGGAGGGGGGGGAGGGAGATCCACGGATTTTTAATTTCTTTAAATTCTTATTCAACTTTTCGGATACTTAAACCTATGGATTCTCGGATCCTTGAATCGTGCACAGATTTGTCCCGGAACGGATCGTCGTACGTAATGGAGTCGTTTTGATGGGCGTTATTACAAAAAGAATATTAAGCCCAAGACACAATGTGAGAGAATAGCGATAGCGATAGAAATAAGTATTATACATAAGTTTCAACCTATCAGAAACTGTGTATTCCGGTGTATTTGATTTCTGATAGATTGAAATTGTGTTATTCCTATCGCTATCGCTATTCCCTCGCATTGTGTCTTGGGCTTTACGATCCTACGCGCACGCGCGCGTATAATATAATAACGTTTACAAGAAACATCGGCACATTTACTAAGTACAGAAGGATGGAAGAATTGGAAGCCACATCAAAAATCTCTTCCTTACTTTAAGTAAAAATGATAGTCCGATCGGATTATCATCGGATTTCTCTGAATTATCATTATCGAGAGAAATTAATAAGATGTTCTCTCTCTCCAAAATACAGGGTAGTCCAAAAATTCCGTTGCAGTTACGCGCATGGAAGAAGACGATTTTCTGATGAAATAATTTTAAATTAAAAAGTAAATATTTTATACGAATAGCTTTGATCTTTTCAAAGCAATTTGACACATACAAATAATCTCTAACATATAAACTTTCTCATCATAATCGTACAATCATAACAAGTACAAGTAAATCACGTTTTTCATTTTTTCTCGTGTATATCCTAGGTCTATATTATTTTCAGAGATTAAAAATAACATATGATTATCGATTAATATTGCTTTGTAATATGCAAAGCAATATTTAGTTTCTATAATTTGGACTTTTGAGAGAAACAGGTCTTACGATTTTATATCATAAATTAAAAATTATTATAGGTTTTTACATCCGAATTGTTCATATCGATAAAGAATTATCTTCTTATCCGTCATTTATATATCTCGATTTTCGATTCACCCTGTATTCAAACGAAAGAAAAAAAAATAAAATAGCAAACGCAGCCGAGCTTATTACAAACTGATATCGATAATCGATATACTCATTGAATATATTGATAATAATGCCGTCATTTTAATGCAAGAGTTTAAAAAATTTACTACCTAAAATTGTGATTTCAGAAAGTATTTCCTAATTAGTCAGTCCAGACACGATTTTTCAGTAACAAGATATGCAAAATAAAAATATTTAGCTCTCTTTGCACTTGAATGACGACATCAGCGTCGATACTTACAATATACATAATAGTTACATTAATATAATAATAATAATATTAACAGAAATAAAAGCACGAATAACAATTTGAATTGATTATGGTAGTACAATGCACTTTGTACATTAATTATATTCGATTAAGCAGCTGTGATTGTTTATAAATTACGCATTAGTAAATATATACACATACGCGTAAGATATACTGCTGCTTATCTATTGCCCGTCATATCTGTGGGCTATATCTAAATTATTGTAGTTTGTTAATGACATCATCGTGCAATTCGTTTTATTGGAGCAAGAAAATTGCAAATTGTCTAATTCGTAAAATCCATATTAAAATATCTTTTTTCTACATATAGATAATACATTTTGCTTTTCAAATAAATAATTAAAATACATAATAGAATCTAGAAAAAAATCAGAGCATTGATGTCTTCTTGATCGCAGAAATTACTGTAAGATTAGAATTCAATTTTGCCATGCGTTATTTCTTCTTTTCCTGTTCCTCGCTTTTATATCCCTGATATATTTCGTGCAAATTGGCAGTCATATATGTCTGATGAATTTCAATTGGCAGTTGTTAGTAATAAGAGGGATAAGAGTACTTCAGCAAGTTTATAATACAAAAATTATGAGATTATTTAATATTTAAGTAACAAATATTAATTGTGTATGTATACATATTCATATGTGCGTACATGTACACGCGTACGTATGTGTATATGTATATTAAATATATATTAAAAATATATTGAATATATATGTATATATATTGAATAAATACATGAATTTATATATATTTTGTGATTATATATACAGTTTCAAATAAGAGAAACGTTTAGACTGTAGTTACAAAAATTTAATTTCAAATTATTATTAAGTCAAATGTCATCTTTTTGCTCCAAAAAACGAATGGTCAAATATGACGTAACTGCATAGCTTGGAGGGAAAAAATGATATGCAGCTTTCAGTGTTTATCAATATTGGCAATATGTGATTCATGATTATTCCCGGTTATTTAATTTACCCGTCTCTTCTTTTTTCTCAGCAAAACAGTTCGTTTAATTATTGATGTGACCTCTTTAAAGTTTTCGCAAATCAATTAATTAATATTTCTCAATAGATTTAATTTAATTAATTATCAAAAACCCTGCACTTTTTATCATATTATTTTAAATTCTTTGAAACTTTTTGGCAAATATAAAAAAAAGTATCTAATAAACGGTTTATTAGGATTGTATAATGTGAATACATAATAAGTAAAAAGCAATGCCTATACCAGTCGAAGCTGCATCTTAAGTGCTTTAAATAATTCCATGTGAATTTATATGGCACGTTTGTACTCTCGAATTGCGCGCCGAATTGGTTTTCCGGACTTATGGTTCCTGCACACTGGACGCGGAAACGCTTGTCGCGCGGCAAAATGTGACGCGATAGCCAATAATTTACAGCTCCTAACATGTTCATTGGTTACCGCGTCGCATTTTGCCGTGCGGTAAGCATTTCCGCGTCCAGTGTGCAGGAGCCATTAGAAACGCAACTCAACTACTATAGTAATATCACAAATTAAATTGATTAGTTAACAATTTAATAATTTGACACAATTGGCTAATTATTGTTTATATACGCTGCATGAAAGATGCGTATATTTTTTATATACATATCAGTTATTGCGAATAATATTACTTCAGGCTCGGTGGTCCAAAGGCTTAGGAATGCACGGAATGTTAGAAATCCGGATTCGACTCCCGGCCGGGGTAATATTTTTCGCAATAAATTTATTTATAGATTTTCAATACATTAACATCTTTCTAAAATGATATCAATTAAATTGCTAATCAGTTTAATTTGTGATATTACTATGGTAGCTCAGTTGCGTTTCTAAGTCCGGAAAATCAATTTGGCGCACAATTCGAGAGATTACAAACGTGGTATATACATTCACATGGAATTATTTAATATATAGGCATTGCTTCTTACTTACTGTATAAAAAAAGAACTTTGCTGCTGAATAAAAGCAAAAATTAATATATTCAAAAATATGGATAATCTAATTAAAATATTTAAATTCCAATAAATATATCGGAAAAAAGTACAATTATTTACTTAATAGTGAATTAGTAAAAGTAAAAATGGAAATGTTCACAGATATCTCCGAATTTTTTGATAAAAAAATACTAGTGTACGTACCCTGTAAAATTTAAATGCCATATACAGAACATTCTACAAACAAAAGGTGTGTACCAGCAGCAGGAAATACTTGACGCAATAGTCAAATGCAACATTAATGAAATGCTTAATTTGTGCACAAACGTTTTGAAAGCCGTGATTTGTTTTACAGATACGTGATATATCTGTGTGACAGTGACATATTTAATAATTGCAATTGAACCAATTTCATCAATGTGTGTGTTGCATTTAGAGAGAGAAAAAGAGAGATTTTATAATAAATCTTAAAATACCTATTTTTGTTGAGTAAAAGATATCACGAGGTGTGCGCGCGCGTGTGCGTGTGTGTGTGTGTGGGTGCGTGTGTTTCTGATCACTGCAATCGGGACACACTACAAGATCAAGCGTTTTATCCTGAATGTATCGAGCCTAATAATTTGTTGATCCGCGTAGTTTTAATTAATAAACTTTTAAAATTATTTATAAAAAGTTTCCAAAATGCTGTCCATTTTGTTGTATATACAACGTGGACGAATTATATCGTTTGTACTTCGCTGTAGCATCTTTTCATCTATAGTTGCGAAGGCGGAATGTAATTGGGCCATCATCTCTCTTCCTTCTTTGATTTCTACCGGATTCTTATAAATAAAATTTTATTAAAATCCCGTAAGAAATAATCGAGCGGTGTACATCATTATGCATACAACAAAATGGAGAGCATTTTGAAAATTTGTTATAAATAATTTTAAAAAATTATTTATTAATTAACTACGTTGCGAATCAATAAATTATTAGGCTTGATTCGGAACAAAATGTGTTTTCTTTCCTTAATCTTGTAGTATGTTCCGATTACGGATGATCAGAAACACCCCGTATATATTGTGTGCGTGCGTGCGTGTGTGTACGTGTGCGTGTGTGCGCGCGCGCGTGTATAGAATATTTCAAAATTCGCGCCTGCGAAGTACAAGATGTGATACTTTATGCTGAAACAAACAACTTTTTCCTTTAACAAAATATCACATTTTGTGATACTTCGCGGACGCGAATTTTGAAACACCCTTATATATGTATATATTTCGTCGGTGTTGTATACCTCTCTCTCTCTCTCTCTCTCTCTATATATATATATATATACACATATATGTTTCTTGTAACTTGATGATTTAAAATGTCTCCATTGTTTTTTATGATACGAGAAAATACCACAAAAAATCTTGTTCGATTCGAAGGGGCACATACTATGTTGAGCAAAAAATTTTTCTCAAGGTCATATTTTTCGAGACTTTAAGGTCACCTCCACTTTTTTAAATGGAAGTGTATGATTTTGTTTACACAATATGATTCTTCTAATTATTCTGCATATAAAAAGTATTAAGGTAGTAATATAAAAAAAATAGTTTACAAGATATCTTATATTTCATTCTGGCTAGAGTCCCTAAAAATAGAGAGTCTGGACATTCAGCGGAAGTGCTCTCAAAATGGCGACGAATATGTGTGTGTACTCTAGGCTGTGTTCGCTTTGGCAATCACAACGCTTTAAGAGTTGTTTCATCCTTGTTGTTTATTAAATATTAAACAAGGATAGCGCTCACAGCGCTGCAAGCGACAAAGCGATCGCAGCCATAGTGTGTGTTTTGGTTGGCTGCTGCGTCACGTAACATGGTTTTTTTATTAATACACATCAATTTATGATAAGTAATAGCAATATATAATATCCCTAAATCAATATAAAAATTAAATAAGTAATATTTTTGATGTGTCTTAATTATTTGCAACGCTCTGAAAGTTTCCTAATCTTTTTTTAAGTAAAAAAAAAACACTAATGACACGGTTCAACTTTCTATCTTTTTCACACAACGCGAAGAGAAAAAGGGAAAAGATGAACTGAGATACGAGAAATGCGAGAAGTTCAATTAAAAATAAAAAGCCTTATTCAGTTCACATTATGTGTATAGATTTTTAATAGTGGTATTTTTAATAGTGGATTTTTAATAGCGAATTTTAGAACACAGCCAGTGTATATTACATACATTGCATCGTATGTCTGTATACATAGAACCTTCGCTAAAGATTTCTCAATTTTTTAGGAAATACACATACATCATTACTTCTGTGATACCACTATAAATTTCGAGTACGATGTATTTCGATTCTAATTTTCCTCCCGTTCGCGCTGAGTGAGTAAGGCTCCGTATAGGTGCTGCCATTGTGAGAGCACCAAGTCACGTGCATCAATCACGCGGAATCCCGAATGTCCAAACTCTCTACTTCTAGGGACTCTAATTCTGGCATATATTGACATAAAATGTTGAATAACTCGTAAATTATTAATTTTTTTTATAATCGTACTTTAATACTTTTATGAACAGAATAATGTCGAGATGAATGAATTAGTGGAAAGAAAACACATAGTTGCTTATTTAAAAAATTATCCATTTTGCATTCATATTTCTTAAAGCAACTATGTATTTTCTTTCTATCAATTGATTCATCTCATTATTCTGTTCATAAAAGTATTAAGGTATGATTATCAAAAAATTAATAGGTTACGAGTTATTTAACATTTTATGTCAATATATGCCAGAATAAAGTATAAAATACCTCGTAAATTGGTTTTTTTGATATTACTACCTTAATTCTTTTATATGCAGAATAATTAGAGGAATCATATTGTGTAAAAAAATATAAAAAATCATACAATTCCATTTAAAAAAGTGGAAGTGACTTTTTTTGAAGTCTCAAAAAATATGATATTGAGAAAAATTTTTTGCTCATCATAATATGTGCCCCTTCGAATTGAACAAGATCCCCTATGATATTTTCTCGTATCATCAAAAACAATGGAGATATTTTAAATGATCGAATTAGAGGAAATACCCTGTACATAGGTATACAACACCGATGAAATACTATTAAAAACGGCCGGTCGCTTAACGGAAATTCGCGCACGAGTGTTAAAATTTAAGTGATTAAGCCCGGTTGTACCAACGGTTACTTTGACTTTAAGCGAGCCTTAAGACTCTCATTTTCTCTCTTTAAAGCTGAGAGAGGGAGAGATAGAGTTTTAAGTCTTATATTTAAAGTGAAAGTAACGTGGATGCAACCGGGCATAAGATAACATAATAAGAAACTGAACTGATAATATAGTTTTATGTACTATAATTTTATGTTTTATTAGTTTCGTAGACATATATACATATATGTTTAAAACTCAATACATCTATAATACTCGATTTTTATTTAAAATTGTGATTTTAATGTTATCATCCGTGGTTGATTATCATCAATAGAGACGATAACTGCAGAGAAAAAATTGTAATTTTGCGGCAATATATAAGATATTATAGCATAACTATACAAACTTATTTATGCAGCATTTATATAATAAAAGATCATAAATTTAATAATGTATTATCCAAATATTCATGTTAATAATTTGTATCAATTGTCGATAATGTCATCATTCTTCAATTATCCCTGGACCCCCGGGATTCTATTAATAGTCACGAAAATTTGTCCAGGCCCGGCCGTCTTTAATAATATCTCGTCGGTGATGTATGTATCACTTTTATCACGTTTATGATTCAAGTGATTTATCAAATTCTTTATAAGTATAAAAATGAAAACTTATTTAATAAAACACGCGGAAAATTGTTATTCCTACTCTTCGGCAGTGTAAAGCGAGTAGTATTCTACTGTTGATAATATACATTTTGAATTACATATATTCTCAAAATTAGGGATGCACCAAATATCTGGAAAATATTCGGTATTCGGCATATCCGGCACTTTTTTACTATCCGGCCGGATATCATTAATATCCGGTAATATGTATATTCGTTGAAAATTTTACATTAACAGTTTGCGTCATTAATGTAGAATTTTATTCTTTTCAGCTAAATTTCTTGCAGTTCATCTCTCTTTTCTATCTTTCTTTTCACGTTGGGAAAATACAGAAAAAGACTATCGTTATTTTCTCCTTGCTGCTCTTTTTTTTGGAAACCATTTTTCAGATATATGGCTTATACAGGATATCCGGAGAAATATCCGGTGTCCGGATAATTGCCCTACCTGATATTCGACCTGACATCCGAAAACAATGTGATGCCGGATATTCGATACCCAGTATCCAATGACTTTACAATCCGCGCGCGCGCGGTGCATCCCTACTCAAAATATTTTTAAAAAAGTTTTTTAGACTTTATTGAGATCAAATTTGCATATTTAAGTTTTTTGAAAAAGTCTTAAACATTTAAAAGAATAAAACTTGAAACATTTTAATTTTTTTAAGAACAAATTTCTAATTTCTTTTTTATATTTTCAAAATTTTAGAATTTTAGAATCCTGGATTATATTTTACATTTTATTCTGCTTATAAAGTTTAGATATTAATATGTAAATCTTGTTTTGATTTTTTTGTATCCACGCATTTTAAAAGCTATATTTTAATATTAAATTCTAAAATAAGAGCCTTAGATTTTTTACAACATTATTTTAAATAATTAAAATAACATAATTAAAATAAAATTTTTCTATCTTAAATTTTTAACAAATAAAATATATATTTCAAATTCTACCTGCCACTGTTACCCTCCTTTTTTTCAACGTTTCTGTAAGTTGGGTCAAAAGTATTCATAAACGTAATCGGAGCATTGATGTCTTCTCTATAATCGAATCTAAGTAAACAAAGTTTGCATGACTTTATCTTGACTCGAATAGAAAAACTATACGGCAACAATGCATAGCATGGCCCATCAAACGACTCGGAGCGATCTCTCTTCTTTTTTCTCTTCATACTTTCGCTCTTTCTTTCTTTCTTTTCTTTTTTAACACTTAACATTTTTCCAGTATACAATCACCATAGGCAGTCACCCTAACCATCGCTTTCTTTTCTCTAGCGATCAATTAACTTTTCTGCTTGACAGAAATTCCTGGTTCCATCCTTCGCTATGTTCTTTTATCGAATACAGACAGTATTTTCAATCTGCCAATGCAGATAGGATCGATATAGTTGGTCATTTTTTTATGCTTGGTGCAAAATGGAAGAACACTCGCGCTTCGAAGCTGATTCAGTCTTCGTTACGTTGCTCACCAGGAAGAAGGATATCAGCAGCTGTGACTTAAATGATGCACTTTTCAAGATATAAGACATTTGGCTGCGCTGATCGGAGCGGTTTTTCCAAATATCAACGAGGAGGGGCATTTCGAGGTTCTTCGCCACATAGCAAGTGGGTCATATGAAGCAGTCCCCTCAGAATCCTCTGCAAGGTGCATTGAGCAACAAGACTGGCTGCATTGCCAGGATTCAGGTGGGGCTAGGAAGCAGCCATTGAAATTGAAGTCGGCAGGCTCTGATTGCTCTGCACCGCGTGCGCCGGTATCTGATTGTAAGGATGATTGCTATTACACAGAACCGTGTAGATGTTTTCCACATTGCTGAGCTTTTCGAAGAAGGGGATTAAATCCAGTAGCTCGGAGTCCGTCATGTCATCAAACCAAGATGCTACTGGAACCTATGAACAAATATCATCTTTATTATTAACACATTAAACGCCATACCGGTCGATGTCCTACGGACCGGCACTCGGATTTTTCGTTTGTGTCACGCTAATCCCAGAAACTTTTCAAAATATATGACAGATCTGCTTTAGAGAACAAAACTGCATTGTGTTTTTTGTGTGATTGACGATTTGTTAGTTGTCCTGGAGTCGAGCCTATTTCATTAAACTTTATCCGTTTACGCCGTATAAATTATATTGTCAACTGGAGATATGCTCAGAGCGTGAGCTAAAATAAACAAAAGGACAAAAAAGAGGTAAAATGGTGCCGGGACGACTAACAAATCGTCTGTCAGTCATATGAAAGCACAGTAGTTTTGTTCTCTAAAGCAGATCTATTAAATAGTTTAAAAAGTTTTTAAGACCGGCGGCGCGCGCGTGGCGTTTACCGTATTAATTACCAAAATTTATTTAATGCCTCATTTGATTATGAAGATAAATGCGATGATATAAATTTTATTCAACACTAAAATAAATTGTTCTTTTTCATATCATTATAAATATATCTTACCGCATTATCTGGATGGAAAATGTAACTGGCAGGACTATTATCTACAATAATGATCTGCTGTAAATCCCGTCCTAATTTGTTCAAATCCTTAACATAGTTTCCTCTATGGAACACACAAGATTCTCTGAATAACCTTGCTCTGAATACCCCCCACCGATCTAACAGATCTGCCACTGGGTCGGCATACTACAAATGTATAAAATAATTTGTACAATTTTATTTTCTTCATTTTTTCAAATCTCATTATAAATCAGTTCTAAATAATATATTTTATTTTGACAAATTCTATTAAAATCAGTTAACATATTACTAATATATAAATGTTTTAAGTAGTACATAAATTTACAGTAAACTGCTAAATCCTATACAAATAATTTTGTTAAATCAAAATTATTGTAAAAGCATTTTTGATTATACTAATATGTATTCTAACTAAAATTTTGTTTATTTTAGTATATTTATTTCAAAATAATTACTTGTTTATTTTTATAAACCTACCTTAGCTAAGCTTGCAGTGAACAATACACATTCATATAATTCACCCATTCTCTGCAAAAACTCGTCCACGTAAGGCCTCTTTAAGACGTACACTTGATGTACCGTACCGTCAATTTCTACAGGAACAACAAAGTCTGCATTGTTGATAGGTTTGAAAGAACTATGCACCAGAGTCTCGTCCAAATCGATTACCATGCACTTTTTGTGCATGTCTTGGTGCCTAACTGGTGGTAGGAGAAATCTCGGAGATCCAGTGCCAGGTGGTGGCGACCCACGTCCCTCACCCTGTAAAGAACTCGCCTTGGAGCTCTTTGAACTACCATTACGGCCTCTTCCAAAGCAACAGAACAGTGAGCGTAAGAGCCCACGTCCCCTTGGCTTCTTGTTATTCGACAAAGTATTGTTGACTGCTTCATTTTCTCGAGGTAACTGGGCTGTAGTACACAGAGAAAAGAGAGGTGACAAATAATTACCAATGTGTCAATTCATGTCATGTGATTCTTGCAAGAAATCAGCTTGAAAAACATATTTAAGTTTGCAACGTAAATTACTTATTATTTCCTCAAGATGTATGTATATTCTGAATAAACTTTGACTGCTGCCTTTCACACTTGTTGTATGTACACATGAAATACATACTGAGACGAAAATTAGTGAAAGCATTAGAAACTTGATATTTTTGAGTTGTGATTTTATAAAGTGGCAATGTGCTAAATTTTTATAGATTAAGGCCCAGTTTCACAATTCACGTTAATTTTTAACGGAGGTTTAACTTAATCCTTATCTCTTTCCAATTCTATAATTGAACCTCAAGAGTCAACTTAAGAGTTAACCGTGAATTGTGTAACTGGAGTTAAAAAAGTAACCACAAGAGAAAAGAGATTTGTCTCTTTTTCTGCACACACACACACACACACACACACACACACACACACACACACACACACACACATATATTTTCTCAAATTTTACCGATAAAAAAGCATACTAGCATACCGATTATGTCTGATCTAAATTGATATTGTCAAATCAAGTTCGGTGTATGTATGTCAAAAATAGCAATCGCATCTTGTGTATATGTATGCATGCACAATCATGGAAGCGGTCAACGTGCTGCATTTAATCTTTTACAGCGAGTTCTTTTTATTGCTGTCTTTACGGCTTGCCCTTAGAGTTTTTCATGAAAGGCATGTGAAAGGTTAAAGGGCACGACAAAGCATAAGAAAATAAGGAAATACGTGATATTGCTTGGTGGAGGCGCGATGTAAAATGACAAAATGACAAGGGATGACAATATCAATGATCGAGGAGCAGAAAGAAGGGGGAACGACACGCGAGAAGTTGTCACAGATGGGACGGGAGGGAAGACGGAGACTGAAGTTAGGCAACGTAGAGCAAGAAGAGAAACGCGGATGCGGAGTTCCGTAACAGGTGCAGGGGAATAAAATCTCGGCAGCATCTGGCGGAGTGCGTTGCAGCCGCGGGGGTGGATGGAGGACGGGATGGCGCGGATGTATTTACGCGATACGCACCTTTCTCGCTGTTGAACGCACCTAACTCGTCATCCTGCGACACTTGGGTGATAATGGACGATGCGTCCATTTAAACATTAGTCGGTGGTCCCTGCGTGCTCGATCGCAAATTCCGTTAATGCGCGCGCGCACGCGCCAGCCGACGGGCGGGCGGGCGGACGGGCGAGCGAGCGAGTGAGCGAACAAACACAAACGAGCGACAAGCGCGCACACGAGAGCGAGAGAGGAGAGAGAGAGAGAGAGAGAGAGAGAGAGAGAGAGAGAGAGAGAAAGAAAAGAAGCGCGACAGTCCCGCGCGCGCGAGATGGGGAGAGAGTGAGCGAAACGGAGCTGGACGGAGCCAAGATCTGACGCGCGCGTGAGGGAAAGGGAGAGCGAGCGAGTGAGCGAGAGAGAGAGAGAGAGAAAGCGAGCACACATACAAGCTAACCTCACTCTCTCGCACGAAACCTCCTCACGTCTCTCTCCAACAACTAGTGCTACCGGCACCGCTGTTCTCCCCTCCACTGCCCCTACTACGTAGATGGTAGATGAGCGCGCGACGAATGGAAACGCATAGGCGCAGACACTGTACGCTCACGGCTCACGCCAGCTCACACGCTCTGACACGCTCTTGAGACAGCTCACAGTAGGATGCGTAAAAGACGGTCAGAGTCTTACGAGATCATCTACGCGTGTATTGAAACGCGTGATCTTCCTCAGAATGATGATTTGCGCCACCGAGGAAACGAAATAATGTCGCATGTCTCATGAAATCTCTTCATACTTCCGAAATGCACTACGCCACTCGCGCTCTCTCCCTCTGACTCTCTCTCTCTCTCTCTCTCTCGTGCTCTCTGATCACTCGCGGCAACTCGGTGACGAGCTTTCCTTTCCTTTTTCACATGCCACACCTATCGCCCATTGCGCAGTTGATTGCTATTCCGACACTGATAGTGCATCACCACGGCCACGCATGGTTCGTTTTTATACCGCACACGCTTCGTGGAAAGGAGCGACGCGCGACGTGTGTACATATGAACGTACATACACGTACTTGACGTACTCCGGTCAGCAAAACACGCAGAAACACGAGCAGTCAGCAGACACCAATTGCACGCTCCCGACGCGCTCGACTCCGGCGTGTAGTATTGTAGTATATAGTATATTGCTACGCTCACGCTCAACCTGGAACACACACGGACAAGGGTCTACTTCTTGGACTAGATCGAATCGTGTTTATTATCAATACCTATTTACAGCCCTCACCTCACGCAACCGCGACACGAGACTCAAGACTCGAGAGTCTGACGCGAAAAACATTGCATACGCACCATTGATGCGCAAAGCAACATTTAGAACTTTACGCTATATATAACTCGAGCTTTGATACGATGAAAGAAAAATACATTGAAATTTGATGTATTGCATTAATCACAACTTGTTAGTGCAAGCTGTAATCACAGGGTTCAATAGAATAGTTTTCAATAATTTAAAAAACTTTATATCTACATCGACAATTGCAATTACGTTAAGATTGAATGGGATTCGACCATTTAGCCCAAGACACAATGCGAGGGAATAGCGATAGCGATAGGAATAACATGATTTCAACCTATCAGAAATCGGATATATCGGAATACACGGTTTCTGATAGGTTGAAATCGTGTTATTCCTATCGCTATTGCTATTCCCTCGCATTGTATTTTGGGCTTTTTTGATAAGAGGAATAAAAATCTCTTTATTCCGATTGGTCGAACTAGGGCTGTGTTCCAAATTTACTGCTAGCGCTGAAAATGCTACAGTTTACGTTACGTGCACTATAGATTTTCAATACAAGCAGTCGATTTTGAAACATAGCCATATATACGTTTACATGCTTTTGCACGTTTTAAGCTGTCATTACATGGGAGCGTCAAGCATCGTGAGCTTACTATTCGCTAAAAACAGGTCACGTGATCCAAATTGCCGAATAGCAAGCTCACGATGCTCGACGCTCGACGCTGCCATATGTAAAAGTACCTTTATAAAGATAGATTTATACATTACGAAAACGAACAAAGCCTGGGTGTAGTATGAGTGTAGTAGGTGTAGTGCAATGAATATAGTAAACCTAAAATCGTCAAAAATTAATCAATTAAGCCCGGATCTAATTATGCGTAGTAAGAAATTATGTGTAGTAAGAAATCAACTTAATTATAAACTTAATTATATTTGACTAATTTTCTTCACGTCTTTCAACTGTGATTGGTCAATTCCTTATGGCTTAAGGCTTTCTCAAGAAGACTAGAACCAGGAGAGTCAACTCGGCGTAAAAGCGGTAGTGGGGGTGAGGCAAGAAGTGGAAACGAACGACACCCCCCACTCTTGCGCTTCATCCTCTCTGTTGCTCTACATAGTCGGTTTCAATTCGTGACTGCGCATGTCAACGTACCTTGTTTCTGTTTGATTGAATTTTGAACTAAACATAAACCGTAAAAATTTAATCCGATGTGATTTACGATGCCCAAGCGAGTGTGCTGTGTTCGAAATTGTGACTTCAATCCTGGAGATAAAGAAAATCGAAAAACAATATTCCAATTTTGTGAGGTACTCAGTGAACTACTGAGCATCGTCCTCAACAGGGGTTGGGGGTAAGCAGCGGGTGACGCTTTTTGACTCACCCCCACCACGCGAGTTGACTCTCCTGGTTCTAGTCTTCTTGGGCTTTCTACATTTATTGTACCATCCGAGTGAAGTTTGAGAGCGCAGTCTAACATTGGAGTATTCGGATTTCGGAGTAATAAACTTTGAACATAAAAATATACAATGAAGAGAAGAAAATTTGTCTAAAAACAAACTCAATTATTTATCGCAGATTATACGATCTTAATTAAGGACGGAATCCATAGATGTTGTTCAAGATTCGAGATGTTCTTAAGCTAGTGCATGAACCAATCAGAGAGCCGTATTAACATCTTAAGACATTACTTGAGATTAAGATCGGACTATGGATTCCGGCCTAAAAGTCGCTCCACCGCTCACTGAGCGTTATATAACTTTACGGCCCAAACATGGCATTAGAAAAATAATAAACAGTAATAAATAAGTAAGGAATATGATATTAAAGATTATCGATAATAGACCAGTTATTTTACATTATACGAATTATAACAAATAAACATATTATAATCATAGATTAATCCCTTTTTTTGCTCAGGGAGCGCTCAGTGAGCGGTTGTTCTTCTGGATGCATCTAATGAAAAGTACAGGCAATAGGAACAGGAAATAACAAATTTCAATCCAGCAGAAATCATATATACATATTAAGACGGTCTTGAAATAAGAACCGACTATGAATACTAGCCAATAATACTCGATTTTTATTTAAACTCTGGTGAAAAAGTTTCGCTGAAATTATTCCACGTTTTGGAACATTTCAGCAAAATTGCTGAAAAAAATTTAAAAAAAAATTTTTTTTATTATAACAATTGTTAAACAAAAAAATTAAACAAATTTTTTTTCTTCACAACATTGAAGTACTCTTGAAACCATACAACTTTTGTTTAACAAATTTTTTTTCATCTTTTATACTTCCGATGGTATTCGGCTCGAAATAGAAATACCGTTTTTATTCAAAGGGGTGTTTCACCCTTTAAACATGAATTAGCGTACGTATAAAAAAAATACGTGTCTTTTAGATTTTCGTGTTTAACAACATATTTCATGGAGAATCAAATCGGTTCCGGACAGTTGTGAAACTTCCCTTTTTAGATACGGATCGCGCAATCCATTCTCTACATATGTCAATTTGATCTCATCCTAAGATCTCATCCTATAGTATTGTAACCAAGGGGTGTGTATGTGCAAAATGAGGTGAAAATTACAAAAATGAGCAAATTCAATAGATATTCATAATTTAATTGGTCAATATCTAGTGAAATTTACTCATTTTTGTAATTTTCACCTCATTTTAAAATTATACACAATCCGCAATCCGCGATAGTTTCACGTTTTTATTTAAACAGATGACAAATCAAAGCTGTCAAAAGTCGTTCCGCGGTAGAATCATAAATCAGATGATAATGATGCAGAACACGTTTGATATTTCTAGTAAATTAATATGACAGCTCGCTCCATCTTACAAGGTATATGCATATGCTTATTATTACTTTTTATTTAATCAAATGTCTGAACAAGATCTTTAAGTATAGATAAATATTTTGTTTCTCTGTTTGTGAAAAATTATAATAAATATATATTATAATATATTATATATTAATATACAGGGTGTCCCATTTTAAATAATGCATTAAGATTTCTCGAAAACTATGGTAGATACGGAAAAATGTTTCAAACAAAAGTTGTATAATTCGGAGGAGGACATAAGAAGGTACCGTTGATTTGACCTTAAGTGGCATCGCCAAGGCCAAGGCCAAGATCAAGGTCATGTCGATTTTTTAAAATGGAATCCCCTATTTTTCATTACATTTTCTTATAGCTTATCTCGAAAACACTATAATAAAATATTTTTTCATTAAGTATTAGTTGCACTAAAAATTCATTTTTTACGTAAAAATGAAAATAAGAGGTACAACCTCCAATGGCCTTGATTTTGACAAATGTTATCCAGGATGTGATCCAGAATAACATTCAAGAGGTTTTAGCTGTCGGTCGGATAACTTGCGTAATGCTAATGCCAGCTGTACTGTAACTTTCGAGCCTTATAACTCGAAAAATATTCAATGAAAAAATATTTTATTATAGTGTTTTGAAAAGCTCTCAAGGTAAGCTATAAGAAAATGTAATGAAAAGTAGGAGGTTTCATTTAAAAAAATCGACGTGACCTTGACTTGGCCTTGGCGTCGCCACCCAAGGTCAAATCAATGGTACCATCTTATGTCCCCCTCCAAACCATATAATTTTTGTTTAAAACATTTTTCTGTGTTTACCATACATGCATTAAGATTTTCGAGAAATCTTAATGCATTATTTAAAATGGGACACCTTGTTTTTATGTATATTTTTTTATATTATTAATAACATTTTTCTCTTTTTTTCATTTGTAGTTTTCGATCAGTATCAGAAGGCGCGATTGCTCTTTGTGCAATCCATTGCAGATTTATCTTCAAAGTCAAACAACATTGATTGTCTGGAAGCAGCAGGTGCCATTGATCTCTTACGTCCTTTATTAGTCGATACTATACCATCCATCCAACATCTGGCAGCAATTGCTCTAGGCAAACTAGCGAATCATAATCCTAGACTAGCGCACGCTATCATTAGAAAAGATGTATTGTCCCATTTGTTGCAACACATAGGCAAACAGAATGTACGAACTCCTTAAATGTAAATATTTTGATAGTGATACCTGGTAAAAAATTTTTCATGCATGAATATGTATGAATATGTATAAACATCCTGGTGAAAAAGTTTCGCTGAAATTATTCCACGTTTTGGAACATTTCAGCGAAATTGCTGAAAATTTGCTGAAACTTCACTTGAAAGTGAATTTTTCAGCTAACATACTGAAAAATCACTGAAATCCAACTAAAATTTCTTTGAAATTCTTGTTGAAATTTATTTAAAAATTTTGCTGAAATTTTTCTGAAATTTTGTCGAAAATGAATTTTTCAGCTAAAAATCGCTGAAATTAAACTGAAATTTTTTTGAAATGCTGAAATTTTGTTGAAAAGTGTTCCAAAACGTGGAATAATTTCAGCAACATTTTTCCACCATGGCATACATAAATATTCATAAACATACATAACACACATAACATTTTATATAAAATATGTCCATACATGTTCATACATCCTTCTTTCTTTTGCAAAATTACTTTTCAGTGTAATAGAAATAATAATAGT